GCAGGTCCTCTCCTGGATGCTGTTCTACATTCAGCTGGACAGCACACAAAAAGCAGGTCTTGGAAAATTGAGTGTCTGATACCTAACCACCTTCTCTCAGGATAGGTACGCATCACTCTGCCCACAGGGCATTGGTAAGAACCAGAGACCTGGCCCCCCTCTGATGCAGGAAGCTGAGGCAAGTAGCCAGGTACTGCCTAGAAAGAGTCCTCTGCTCGGGAAGGGCAGCATGGTTCTGAGTGGCTCAGCTAGCCACCTCTGCCGTACGCTCCCAGGTGCTGAGGGTAATCAATTTTTCAAATAAAAATGAAAAGTCCAACCCAGACTCTGAGGTGCAGTCAGTAGCGTGCCAAACTGTGGAATTAGAAGCCACTTGCTGACCACAGTTCGAGTCCTAGGCCGGGTAGCCTGAAAACAAGGTAGTCACCGGGTACACCCAGGATCCTAGTAAGATGGAAGACCAGAGGATGAGAGGGCAGTGTTACTAAACCCTGGGGAGTGTACTTCTCTCTCTTCCTTTCTCACAAGTATGTGCTCTATCATGAATAAATATTCTTTTTTAGTAAGTAGAAGCCCCTGGCCTATGAAGGCTATAGGCAAGTTCATCCTTGAATAATGTGCTCCCTCCTAACGGCTCCACCCACTGGGCTGCCTTTTATCAACCTGACATTACCGCATCACTATCTGCATTGTGGAACTACAGCTCCCAGAACCCCTTGCCAGTATCACTGGCGGTTAGATTCGGCCAATAAGACATTTATAAAGATTTTGAAGAGAAGCCATTTTTCTGGGCAGCAGCTGTTTGCAGGCAGATGAGGTCACCGCTGGCAGCCCGGCTGGCTTCCACTGCTCCCCCGAGGAATCACCTGCTAGAAGCAGGCGGCTGAGCTCCTATCAGCAGTCGTTTCCAGGGCTCCGGCAGCTCCAGAGACTCGCCAGCTCAGTCCTCCGTGCAACCAGGATTACTGGCAGGGGCGCTTCTGCGATCCTGTTCTTACAAATTTGCTGACAAGTAATCTCCCAGACCTTTTCTCCCATAGCCAACTAAGGCTCAGAACTACCCTTTAGCTAGTAAAATACTAGAGGGATTTCTCTCTTGCAACAAAACCTGAGCACACTCAGCATGAAAACGTTCAGAACATTTATTCAGTAAGTCTAAAAAGATATTTTCTAGTGCTTGATAAATGCCAGGCTGCTGGTGAATGCCAGAAAACACAGTGATGAGCCAGGTAGAAACAGTTGTGCCTCCATTGTACCTGAGAAACGTATTATAAACCGAAACTAGTAAATACATCCCCTGCCAAGTGCTAGTAAACAAAATTACAGGGCGCTAAGACACAGGACAACAGGAGCGCTTTTTTCCAAATAGGATGAAAAACAGGTTGGAAGGAGGAGGCTCTCATCACCATCAAATTCACAAAGAAGGAGGAAAACCCAGAGTTCAATGCTTGTTCCAAGTCAAAAGAAATCCGGCAGAGTTTTGGAGATACAGCTCATTGCGTGTCCTAATGCCTCGAGCTGTAATGGTAGGATGGCACATCACAATGTAATATTACACATAACGACATGTCTGGAATGTGATGACATGTCACATGTCACAGAACATGTGGCATTTTATGTAACCATTTGTTTTATGTTTTATAAACAAATGTAGGTTGGAGAAAGACCATCAATGTTCTTCCAATGTCAGTATTGGAACGTGAGCGCAGTTAACAGCAATTAACTGTAATTAATGTTCTATTAACTGTAACTTGGAGAGTGAGAAAACAACATCTGAGTGGGCCACCCTCAGGCTCTGTCCTAATGACAACTATTGGGTTGTCAGCAGAAAAGTCCTCACTTACTTTTTCTATTCAAAAATGTGTCATGACTTTCCTGATGATCTGATAGAACATACAAAAATATTTATTAAAATCTACTCAGTTCTAAGGACCAGCAAATGGCGTAATGGTTATGTCACTGGACTCCCATATGGCCGACTATGGTTCAAATCCCAGACCTGGCAGCTTGAAACTCACTCTAGGCACATGTGTGTGAGTGTGCCCAAAATCCTGAAAGGAGAATGATGGAGAAGGGATTGTGGTGTGGCCAACCTCCTGGGGTATGATTTCTCACTTTCTGTCTCTCTCTCTCTGGCAAGCACACATGCCCTATAGCAAAAATCTCTCTTAAAAAAATCTATTCAGATCTTTACTCCTTAGCCTGTGGAGCTGGGCTTCTTAATCCACCTGTTCCAACCTGACTGGAATCAGGGAGCTATTGTGTACCTCTGTGCAGGATCTCAAAGCCCAGCATCTGGTGGGTCCAGCTGCTTCTCCCATAGTTCATGGGCCAGAGCCAGAGACAAGACTCGTTCTTTATAACCAAGCTTCCCTGCATGCGTGTATTCATTTCGCACGTGTTTGCCGAACACTCTGTGTATGCTGGACCATGGAGGCTATAAATGGAGAGCAAGTATAGGAGCCTTGTCCTGACAGAGTCTTCTCAGAGGTGGGGGGAGGTGGGGAGAGCTGTAAGGAAGAGGTGGCCAGCACAAAAGAGAAAGTGCGGGCTGGCTAATCCGGACTCGGCAGACTCGAGAGCATGCCCCAGAGGAAGCTCAGTGTGTGTATGTAGTTTATGTATATTCTATATAGTATATTTTATATCTTAAAATATATAGTATATATAGTATACATAGTATATTTATATATAGTACATATAGTGTATATATTATGTATTTTTATATATGTGTGTACACACACACACATACATACAGAGTCTTCAGAAACAGAAGTGAGAGTCCACAGCAGACATCCTGTTGGAGAAAACGAAGGCAGTTCAGCCTGGCTGGGTTACAAAGTACAGTGAGGAGGATGCACCCAATAAGGCCAGAAGATTAATCAAGAGTTGATTTTGTAGGACCTGGTCAGGCCACGTTTGGGAGTTTGAACTTTAAGAGTAATTTGAAACCATTGAAGATTATAACCAGGGGACCGGTCGGATCAAATGTGCATTTTGGATATCTCACTCTAGCTTCCTTCCAGGATGGAAGGAAGCAGAGGAAGTCTGGAGAAGGAGGAGGAGCCATGAAAAGATTATTGTCATGATTCAAGCAAGTAATTACTGTAGTGAAATCTAGGGCAGGGAGTCCTTCCCTGGATTTATTGACTTCTATTGCATTTTTATTGTGGATTGTGTCCCTGACTTCCTCATCTCAGTCCTTCCTAACTGTTCAAGGCCTACTCCAAATCAGTTTCAATAGCTGCACTTTTACTGCATGGGATCCAAAGTACTTGAAAGTAACGGACTGCCCCTGCCGAATGCCCTTACCGTGTCCCCACCACGCTGTGGGACACTCCCTGCTGCATCGCACATCTCTTACCTACTAGAGACCTTGCCTCCACACTCCTTAACCATGTCCTCTCTGTGAGAAACTGTCTGCCCTCCAGGTCCTCACCACGCTGCCCTCTTTTCCCCGTGACCAAACTCCAGTCAACAACAGCAGCAGCTCAGACTCTTACATGCATGGAGAGAGATCTTCGGGTTTTGCACTGTCCCAACCTCAGCGTTCTTGGGCTGGGGTTCCTCTTCATAGAAATATGCTCAACCTGTGCTTTGCTCTGCTTAGGTAACATATTTTAGCCTGGAGGGGAGAATTCATCTTTTAAATATTAGGAGAACAATCATAAGTTCATGTGTGCATTGATTTATCATTGATTCATGCATTGATTTTGTTCATTCATTAGTCACTGAGGGACAACCCTACGGTAGGATCTTATCTAGAATCTAACTTCTATAAAAAATAAAAAATGTTAAATGGCATGTAATTTTTCCTTCCAAGAAGTTAACAAGCCAGTTGGGAAGCCAAAGAATAAGAGCACTGAACATTAAGCTCATAATATGATATTTAATTATCTCAAGATGATAGATATTGATTTAATTTAAATGCTTTCTCTGTGCCAGGCTCTGGGCCAAGTGCATAGCGTGTCCTATATTTTTAAATTATAATAATGATCCTGCAAATCATGTTTTATTATTCCAACTTTCAAATGAGAAAATAAGACTCAGGGAGCTTAGTAGACTGGCCCAAGAGTGTATGGACGGTACATGGCAAAAGTGGATTCCAATCCACATCTGTTCCACCACTGAGGATTTGCTTTCTCCCCTTTTGCTATGGGTGTTTGCCTCCTAGCAACCAGAAATCACTATATATCCCAGGCTAAAACCCATTCTGTTCATTTTTAAAATGTTCTGAAAAGGAATGTCCTTGGGATAAACAAAGGTAAAGATGGCAGACTGTTCTCAACGTTCAGGGTACCTCCAGCCGACTTATCATGGTTAACTGAATCGTGTCTTGAGAAGAGCTCTATTGGATGCAAGAAGCTGTACAGATATTCTGAGGCCATCTTTGGGCTCACTGGGACCAAATGCCATCATGGATTTGTGACATCTGCCCCAAATCAGAATAGAGGGCAGTGATACTTCACCATGTTACTACCCATCTCTGCGTGGGGAGTTCATGAGATACCACTCAGATGACCACCCACCAGAAAATGAATTTTCACCATGTATCTCTCCTAACATTTCACAGTTCGACATCTTCGTGGCATTAATAACCAGCAATCAAAAGTGGAAAAGCAGAGCTGCAGGAAATAGACCAGTTCCTACATTTCTTTTTCTTTTTCTGTTTTTAATGTACTTTTTACCGCCAGGGGGCATATTTATGAGAGAGAGAGAGAGAGAGAGAGAATACACTCTCGAGTTGGGCACGGTCACACCACCGTCAATTTCCCTCTGTTTCTCCATCCCATCAGGGTCTTGGGCACACACACACCTAGCATGTTTCTCTACCACCACGGCTGGGTCTCCAACTACAGTCAGCCAAGGGGGGTCTACCACCCTTCACCACTGCATTAGGGGGTGGCCTTGCATTTTCTAAGAGAGAAGCTATGAGTTTTTGAGCACTTAAAATACGTCGCATGTGACTGAGAAATGAAGTTTTTATTTCACTGTATTTTCATTCATTCATATTTAATTTAAAATATTGGATACTGTATTTATTTATCAGAAATGGTTGAACATGTTTAGAATGGCTTGAGTATGTGATTCTACTTCTTAACTGTAAATTTCAGGAAATGTAACAAATCAAGACGTTTCAGTGAAAAATCACATTCAAATTGCAATGGAGTAGAAGCATAAAATACTCACTGGCACTTGAAGATCAGCAGACAACGATCATTTAAAATAGCTCAGTCGTAATTATACGTATTGTATGTTGACCATTTTGGATATGTTAGGTTAAGTCAAATACATTCAAATGAAAATTTCCCATTTCTTTTTTACTTTTTTAAATGAAGTGGCTGGAAACACTTTCGTTGCATGAGAGCTTCACGTTTTATGTCTGTTAAACATTAGACCAGAGGGGCGTCAGGTAGGAGGGCAGTCGGTGTCGCCGGGACACCTAGTGGGTGCGGCAGGTCAGCGTCCTCAGGCTTTGATTCTTTTCATCACCCCCCAAGGTGTCGTTTAGGCCTCTTTTTGTCTAGTCACCCACACAGTAAAATCTGAACACCCAGGATATACTGTATCTGCTCACCTCCTTTTCTAATCTTTAAGGCATTGTCACTCATCCTGTGTTTAACAGCTTGTCCTTTGGGCATGACATCGCCCTCCATTGGGAACTCACGTTTGAGGTGAACTGGGACGAGGTAAGCCACGAGGGGCCCGGGGAAGACAGTGATGCCTGCAGACAGGGCGAGCAATGGCCAGTATGGCTGGGAGTGAAGAGGGGAAGAAGCTGCGCGGAAAATCGCCAAGCTGGCGTGCTCTCTTGTAGGTTTGACCCAGCGGACCTGGGGTTGGTGTCCAGTTACCCAGCGGTTTGGCCCAGGCTTCTGGAGGATACACGTCTCCAGACAGGTGTAAGTGTGAGGCAGCACCTGCCTCAGATCCTCGTCGACTGTAGCAGGGTGACGCGTCATAAATAAAAGCGTTATCGTGTGTCACCCTTCCTCCCATAGCAACGGATTCCAACTATTCCTGAGGTAAGCGAAAACGTGGGCAGGGTGTGCCGCGGGCGCGGGCTTCGTTTCCAGGCTTAGACTCTAACAGGCCAGTGGCCAGCCATCACAGACCTTCTCTGGTTTTCGTGTGCCTCTCTCTTCCCGCTCACGGACCTGTGCTGGACGGGACGGTAATTGACCCTAGTGGGAGAGACACACCAAAATGTAGGGAGAAGGCCAATCAGTGCTGTTTTCTGTAAATAAAAATTTATGTAAATATGATTTATGTCCCTAGTAAATCATCTCATCATGAGATTTAGTATAATTTAGTTTGAGACAAAAATGCCACCCCTTAGATATTATTAGAAAGTAACTTCCTTAAAACACATTAGGGGGACCAGCAGTTGGTGGTGTAATGGCTATGTCACTGGACTCCCATATAATCAACCACGGTTCAAGACACAGACCCTGTGGCTTAAGCTCATGCAGGGCGCATGTGCATGCGTGCCCAAGATCTTGAAGATCCCAAGAGGAGAATAGAGGAGAAGGGATTGTAGCGTGGCCATCCCCTAGGGCATGATTTCTCGCTTTCTGTCTCTTCGAGTCCCAGACCCAATGGCTTAAATTCATGCTGGGTGTGTGTGTGTGCATACGTGACCAGGATCCCAAAGGAGAATGGAGGAGAAGGGATTGTAGCGTGGCCATCCCCTAGGGCATGATTTCTCGCTTTCTGTCTCTCTGTCTCTCTCTTTCTGGCAAGCACACACACCCTATAGCAAAAACCTCTCCAAAAAAAAAAAAAGAGAGAGAGAGAGAGAGATGATAAGTATTTTCCGGGTTTTTGTTATGACTATCCAAGAGAACAGAACCCTCTCCAGCCAACAAAATAAGTCATCTGGAAGATTCATCTTTGTAGTGAAACTTCGTAACAATTAAGCAGCATCGTTAACTTACTTTATTCTGACTCAAGCAGATACCTAATTTAAATTTAGCCTTAAAAAACAAAAAAGCCCTCTAACCAAAAGACTCCTTAGTTGACCAGCTGTTTTAATTTTTCCCCAACTAGTTGGTAGTCATATTTTTCAGTGAAAATTTATTAGCTGGCATGTTAGATTTTAAATAAATACATTGCGTACACTTAAAATATAATAGGTCATCCAAAAAATCATAATGTACTTTTCTGTTTTTTTCTATGCAAAAATATAGAACAATATTTCTCCCCAAGACTTCACCCACCTGCCTTTTTCCTCCACTGATGGCGCCACGCTGCCCTTTGTATAGAAAAGCAGAGGCGTGAGGGCAAGTGCGTGCTGAGTCCTGTGTCTTCCTAGCGAGCCACCGAACCCAGGGGTGATCTTGGGCACCTACCACAGCGCCTCACTCTTCCTCAGGATCCTTGGCTTATCATACAGCTACTGAGATTTTACTGTGTGCCTGGGTACTTCTCAAGCACCAAGAGTGTAATAATGAATAAGGTGCAGCCCCTACTGAGAAGCCTATAGTCCCATGGAGTGCTTTTTATCCAGGGTTGATTTTTGTCTCTCGGGGTACATCTGGTTGTGTCTGGGGACACCTCTCTTTGCCACCACTCAAGCAGTGCTATCTGCATCAAGTGGGGAGAAACCAAGAATATTTGTAAATATCCTACAGTCCAGACAGCAGAACCTCCTGCATCCAATGAAGAATTACCCAGTTAAAAATCAACAGTGTTAAGGTTGAAAGCCCTGATGTGGCAGGAGAAGCAAGCACATAAACAGGTCATTTCAATGCCATGTGAAAACGGCCCATTGACCTCCCCTCTTCCAGTGAGCTTTCCTCTGCCCTGCCTTAGCCACTCACCCCAAACCAGGGCCTCCCACTTCCTTCACCCTCATGACCTCACGTTGCCCTGGAGGAGGTTGAATTGCATACTCAATTACTGCAATCGTTCTTTTTTACACTCCCCCCATGCTTCCATATCTCTCTCCCTTCATGGGCCTCCCCTGACCAATCACAGCGCTAATTAAGTCCTAGCCTGCGCCTACCTCAGACCCACAACTGTGCCACTCACCCTGACTGACTCAACTTTGTTTTATTGACTAATATTTTTATGGCTTCTCTTGAAGCTCATGGTTACTACCATTGAGGGACATCACATTTCCATGGCCCTTCATTTTCTGACTCAGTGATTTCATATCTCCATCTCTCTCCTCAAACCTCCATCACCTCCTATTCCTTCTTCACTTGCAGGTCGTTTACCTGTTTCCAGTTTCTCTGAGAATATCAGAATGGAAGAGAACATCCACAGGCTGTCACTGCCACAGCCACTGAACAGCTTGTGTCTGGCCTGCGACTCTGATCTATCAGGCTGGATGAACTCCACTTACCAGCCACTTCGACGTCCCCCTCTACCGCTCACGGACATCCTTCGAACACCCGCATGCCTTCTCTCCCGCATTATCGTTTTCCCTCCCTACTGAATCATTCTGACTAACACACGCACATGCTGCTATTTTCCCCATCTTAAATCAAAATTGTGTTTCTTTTTTTTTAAATAATTATTTCATTTTATTTATTCATCCATTTATTTTGACTATAGAGAGAGGGAAAGTGAGAAAGCAAGCCACCAGGTCCAGTATTTGAACCACGGTTGGCCACGTGGGAGTGTCCAGGACCTTAACCACCATGCCACCTACTGGTCCCGAAACAAAATTTCTTTTCTGACCCCATGTTTCCCTTCTGGGACTGTCCCATTTCTCCCCTTTCCTGCACAGTCCAACTCCTCAGGATAGTTTGTGCTGTCCCCTCTTCTTTCCAGTCCCTGTTTCCCCAGCACCATCCCTCCTGCTACCCTCTTACCCCCCGGCAGTGGTAAATCTGATGGTGGAGGGGAGCCGGGGCGCTGGCCTCCTCCGCCACCTTGCTCCATGACCCCGTTTCTTGCACAGATTGCATGGCCCCTCTCAGCTCTCTGAATTGCGCAGCTCACTTCCAGCTCTGAGGCTGCTGCTTCGTCCTCTCAGTGGCTCTAAACTCACGTCTAGGGGGAGTAAGTTGGCCGGTTGATATTGTCATGCCAGGGGACATCACATGTTACCTCACAGCCTCGCTGGTAACTAGCCAGACTGGTTCAATACAGATGGCCAGCCAGTCAGGCCACAGCAGTGCCAAAAACAGCCATCCTGCTTCTCTGAGTTGGAAGCTGAGGGCAAAGACTTCATGGAACGACACAGCAGGCATAGAAGGCATAGCCAGCGTGCACCAGCCCATGACTTCCAGTGACCTCCCCCCAGGGCAGGAGTGCATACCGCCTTCTAATATGATGATCCACGTGTGTTCTCCGTGGCACCAGCGAGTCTGGTGTCTGTAGTCAAGGATCTCGTAGTCATTTTTCTATCTTCCAGCCCATTGGCTTTGTGTCTTCCTCTGGACAAAGTCTCCCTAGGGCAGTGTAAAAGGGACCACCACGCAGGACCTTGGACTTGAGCTGCCCCCTCTCTCCGCTCTTGCCATTCTCTCTGTGCTCAGGAAAGACTGTCTCCTCTTCTACTGCTCCTACTCCCAGCTTCTCCGGCGTGGTGCTAGACTGCAAACCCCCCTGGAAGGAAAGTTCAACAACTCCCAGGCTTCTGCTCTAGCCCCCAAATCTTGCGCTATGCCCTATCTGTTGTGGGTGAATATTCACTGAATGACTAGCAATTGAGTATTGGTCCCAGATTGGTCTTCCTAGTTCTAGTTTTATGGTTTTCTGGCTAGCTTCCTTTTTTTATTTTCTTTTTTGAGAGTTTTTTGCTATAAGGCGTATGCGCTTGCCAGAGAGACAGAGAGACAGAAAGCGAGAAATTACCCCCCAGGGGGGATGGCCACGCCGCAATACCTTCTCCTCCATTCTTCTCTCGGGATCTTGGGCACACACACACACACGCCTGGTGTGAGTTTAAGCCACCGGGTCTGAGACTCGAACTGCGGTCGACTACATGGGAGTTCAGCAATATAGCCATTACGCCAACTGCTGGTCCCTTATGGCTAGCTTCTTATGATACGTCTTGTGCATCCTACTCTACTGACTACACTTTTTCCCAACCTTATGCCATACCCACCCCGTGGCCATGTTGGGAAGCCTGTCAGGGCTTGGTGCACTTGCACGAGATAAGCATGCAATACACTTAGCACACAGTCTTCATGCAAACGTAGCCTATCACTATGGAGGTCCAGGGCTTGTTAACACAGCTACCAGCTCCTCTCTGCTCACTGTCACTTTGTGCAATAGAACAAAGTAGCTCAGGACCAACAGACGGCATAATGGTTACGTCACTGGACTCCCACATAGTTGACTATGGTTCGAGTGCCAGACCCAGCGGCTTAAAACTCACGCCAGTGTGTGAGCATGCATGCGTGCCCAAAGTCCCAAGAGCAGAATGGAGGAGAAAGGAATGAGGTGTGACCATCCCCTCAGGGATTCATTTCTCACTTTCTGTCTCTCTATATCTCTTTGGCAAGCACACCCACCCCATAGCAAAACATTTTTCTCTTAAAAAAAAAAAAAATA